ATATAAACTAACTTCACTATCACTTCATGCAGAATTAAAAATGTTTTTGGTTAACTATGCAATCCAAAAAAAATAAACATTTAAATCGCGTTAATGCAGTTGTTAGTCTGTTTCTTTGCATTATTATAAATCCACAACGCTTAAAAGCTTTGATTACAAAGACTGTCAAGTGTTTGAGATCACCTGAGAGAAACAAATTAAATATTTACAACTCACCCTTGCCGGAATCCTAGGAATGAAAAATAACACTATTATTTCACAGTTCCGTTCTATTTTAGTGGCCTTACTTTAACAACCTTACCGAGCGAGTTTAATACATTTCTCGTAATCAATTTACTTCTCCCCTTCTCTACATTTCCAATTTAGTAAATGTATCAGAGTAGCAACTCAACCATACCCGCATCCTTCATTCAATCCTCTTTCTTCACCTTATAATCAATTTATGTTGGAGTTATAGATTTCATCAAACTCTCATATAAAACATCTATCAAAACTGTTGAAAATTTTAAGCTCGTTCTTGTGAAACAGAAAAGGTACAAGGATCAGAAGAAAAATGCAATACAGAAAATGAGGAAAAAGAAGTATAAAGAACTTTCTTTAGGTGAAATTAGGATGTTATAGAATCTTTTTTTTAGAACTTCAGATTATTCAAGATAAATAATAATTTTTTCAATAAAACTTTGCATGTGCATACATGATATTTAAAATAACCAAATAAATTTAATCAATTAATTTTAGAACTTTTCTTAAAATGAGATATTAAGAAATTACCAATGCATTTACTTTTAAAGTAGGATATGTGGCTTTTATTTATAATAAAAATCATAAAATTTTATTGGAATTAAAAAGCCAACAAATTTTAAATGTAACTGTCGTTCTATACATATGCATAATATTATCCATTTAAAAATAATAATATAACTGTCATCTCCGTAGCCAGTTTCACACGTTCATGTCACCCAACTCCCCACCGCCCTTTACCTACGTGCCTAATAACTACATATTGACCTTCATTTATCGAATATAATAATCTGACCTTAGAGAGTCTCGTTTCGTTAGAAGCCACAATACTAATAACCGTTAATTAATATATACATCTAATTTTATTGAAATAATTTCATGTACATTTGTATACACTTTTTTGCACTTCAAATAAATATTAATTATAACCAAGACGAATATAGTCAAATATAAATTCGAATTCAATAAAGAACAGAAAGAAAATAAGATTTAATTCATTAATTTGGAATTATTTAAAGACAATGAAACCAAAAAATGTGCAAATTTCTTACATTATTTAAACTACTATTAAAATAACTTACATTTTTAATAAATGTATTGTCACTACATAAATTATAATTATTTTTAGATTTTTTAAAATATTAACAATATAATAAAAACTGTTTTTAAGAAAAATGTCACAAATTTAATTTAAAAAGCAAATACTAAACAGCTGTCATATCGG